GATTGATATTTGTGTTTGCAGTGCGTGGAAGGTTCTCAGTGTGCTACAGTACATTGTTGTTATGAATGTAGAATAAAAACTACACTGAAAAATTAAATAATTGCATTTAGAAGAAAAAAAATGAAGAAAACGGTGAATACCTTTAAGCCTGGAGCAAAGCTGAAAGCAAGAGTTGCAAGTTGTACAACTCCTCTTATCTTGCATTGAAACACACTGGCTACTGTTTTGAAATATTTCCATTAAATGTTAGGCAGGGAGTTCTTGGTACACACAATTACTTGTGACTTAGAAAACGTTGCTATACAGAACTTCAGGTTTTTCTAGGTGAGTTTTTATAGCTAAGGCTATGTTGGAGATAGAATAAGGTTATCTCAGTGAGTTTTACAGAGCAGGGTGAATTTTTTGCACAGGTTTTTATTTTATTCTGGAAAGTTCCCCCAGCCAACCTAAAAGGAGTGCTAGAGGAGTGAGACAACTAAACTCCCTAGGACAGAAATAACAAAATACTTCTGTGTGTGGACCATTAACTGAGATTATGAGAAATATTCCTTCTGATACAGGGAGAGTATATAATGCCATACAGTGCTACAAAATGTTTCATTCTTTAGTATCATGATCTAAAGTCTGTGTAGACCTTGATTGAAGAGCCTGGATGTGCTGCAGACAAGTGAGCCATCTTCCAGTTCATACAGGGCTGCCCTTGATTTTATGAACTTCAGGTCAGACCAATATATCCTGTGTTCTGCAAATAACTCTCTTTTTGTGTCAGGCCCATGATGTAGCTTGAACAAGGTCTAGGGCTGAAGGTTTTAAGTGGTGAGAGCTACAGGAAAATGAATGGAAGGATCCAGATCAAGATCTCCAGCCTGCTTTTATGTATCCACATACCACAACCTTTTTGGTGATCAGAACTCCCCCACTACAGGAAACCAGATTAAATTAAATGCTTGGGGTCACTGTATGACTTCCCTGTCTCACCTTCCTTGTCCTGTAACCCATGTACTGTGCTGATTCATTTTTTTTACAGAGTATGATAGGAAAGGTTTTCGTTTGGAAACCCATTAGTTCTGAACCAGCTTTGACCTGTGACTCAGTTTAAGGCTTCTCTGCAGTCTAGAAAATCTGAAGGTGACCACTCCACCGTGGCTTTGTTGCACAAAGTCTTGTCTTCTCCTTTCTCACGGCTGTCTGTGTGCCAACAACAGGCCCACCTGGCTGTCGCTTTGCAGCCAGGGCCTAGTCCTGCCCTCTCCACCACAAAATTGGTTTCGATAAGTTTATATGATTCTGTTTAAGTGAGAGTTAATTACTGCAAATTTATGGCTTCTGAGCCCACCAGGGCTAGTCAAGTCTCAGGACCCCTTCAGCTGGCTATGCAGTACTTTATTTATCTAAGAGCACTGAAAATCTGTGTGGCTTACCCAGGGTAATTCCAGCTGCAAGTAAATTTTTCCAGACACATTTAGAATATACCTTAGACAGGAACTTAAAAAGGCATATATCCATTACCCAGTGAACCATCGCAAATACCCATCTTGACCAATAAAAGGTGAAGCATACCTGTGGGGCTGGAGTGAGAAATCACATCTCCCATTGAGCTCAAAAGAAAGTTTGCACATTCCTGCTGTGCAAGGACATTTTACGTATTGGAGGTCAACTTTCTGTGCATTCAGAGGAACAAATCCTCTAGTTGTGTAAAGTGTCCCCAGCTCCACAGAAGAGCTGTGACAATTTACACCAGCTGAGGTGCTGCTCAGCGTTTTTGGTTATGGGCCTTATTTACTCATGGCTAGTTAGAGTTCCTGTGGAGCTGTTATGGCACTGTGTGGGTGTAAATCTTTCTTTAGATGCCTTTGGAGCAGTTAGGAGATAGCACGCCTGTCTATAAAGCAGAAACATCCTTGAGCATATGCCTGGCATAACCTTACAATGGAATGGTGCCATAGTGATCTGCAATATAGCTGGTTTTTCCTAAATGAAGATCTACAAATAATGTCTACTAAAAAGTTGCCACACAGTATAATTAGGTAGTGAAAAAAATCCCTTTGTGTTTTGGCATAGCCCTTTTCATTCATCTCTGCGTCTTTAAGCAGTTACGTCCTGGAATAAACCTAGCTTCTCATCTACCCAAGAGTGTTGTGCTGACTTACTTTTTCTTCTAGAAATTGTTTAGTCAGGGAATGGTGTCGGCCACTCTTTTGTTGAAATAAGTTTGTTAAACAGTTGAACAGCAGCTTTATGTAGGCAAGGCCTAAGGTACTGTCACAGAGCAACAGTTCTTACTCATTGCAGTAAAATAAGGTCAGTGTAATTAAGAATTTACACAGCTAGTTTCTGCATATTCACAGAGGTAACTCACATCTGCCTGTGGTGGGATACAGCTGTGCTGCAAAGGTTGTGTGGCACTTTCACAGCAAGGCCCTGAAATACAGACATTTCAGAACGCCTCCCTCTCCCCACAACACCATGAGTGGTGCCAGCAAAAAACCAGAGTAATAGTGAACGAGGAAACCATTACTGGCCTTTGTAAACCTCCTTGAGATCAGCATGCTCAAAGCCAGCAGTGAGTAGGAAGAAGGAAGAGGTCTCCTGAGTCCTCATCTGTTGTCCATTCCCCAGGGGAGGCTGGTTCTGCAAAACGCAGCATGACATTTCAATGTATTTTCTGGACATGGTATGTGAACTGCAAGGGATACAAAACTGTGCTACAGAAAAATGTATTTCTAGGTAACACTAAGGGAAAAAGTAGGTCCACGTGAAAAAATATTTCCCTAGCAGTTTTTATCTTTAAAAGTATTAAATTACAATATAACTTCCCAAGAGTGTTCTTGCAAGTCATTTATACCATAACACATAAAATTACTGTAAGCCTCCATTAGTACTGTGGCTACTTTAGTAATCAGTTTTGAAGAATGTGCTCCATTGGTGGAAATATTTTGATTTAAGTTCATACTGAGGAGCAGTCTAAAAGTTATACTCTAAATTGCACTTTAAAATAAGTCCCATGGTACATCCCTACAATATATATGGTATGCTGACTCTGTGTAATTAAATTCTTGTCTAAAGTTGTCATTAAGTTGCAGTAAATATTGAAGCTAGCTTCATTTAAAAATAGATTTACTTCTTGATTTTAGCTGATAAATATTATTGTATAGAAAATTAATTAAAATATTCATACATATATATAACAAGACAGGGACGGTGGTTTTAGCTGTTACAAGCAAGCAGACTGGCAGTGGCTTCTATCAGAAGCAGCATAGCTGACTGACAACAACGTGGAGAAAAGCACAGGGTCCCACACAAAGCTTGTCAAGGAATGAAGTCTTCTCCCATCTTCTCTCATTCCTAGGTCAGAAATAACATCAAATTACTTATTAACTAGTAAACCACAAGACTTCCTGGGAATAACAAAAATTAAGCAGGTTTTGAAGGTGGAATTAATCTTTTCTTGTATGTGCTCAAGCTATCGTTGGTATGTTACCATCAAACGAAAAGGATGGGGAAATTTCACTGAGTAGACTGAGGAAGAGAAGGGTCTGCTCTTTAGAGAGTCTAAAAAATAATGGTATTTTTCAGAAGTTCGATGAAACTGGGGGGGGGGGGGGGGGGGGTTGGGGTGGTGGAGGAGAAGGTCTCAAAAAGTCCTTGTATCTGCAGAAGAGCTCAGGTGTGCATTCATTCTTATTAGGCCCTAGAGAATCCATGCTGGATTCTCATGCTATGGGACTCAACCAAAAAAACTTCAATTGGAACTTGTGTCTTTTAGAAACTCCATTAATTAGTCTGTAGGAAATCAGGCTTGATTACTTTCAGTGCTCACAGAACTACTTGTGTTTTTTCTGGAACATGGACAGGCAAATTTCTGAGATGACAAATTTATCCAGCATGTCTTCCAAGAATCTCTCTTGCCCTTTTGTGAATGTTTGAATGTCTCCATTTCCCAAATGTATGCTTGTTTGACATTTTTATAACTAACAGGTGTTTTATGTAGTTTTGTTGGTGCCTTAGACTTTCTCAAGAAAATGAAAAAGGGTCTGTCTTTATCTGGTCTAGGCCGATTGACATTATCTTAAACCATCTTCAAATTTCTTTCCATTCACCCCCATAACTCTTTCTACAGGCTGTCCTCCAACTTTTCTTCATATCTCTATTAGAAAACTGTCACTTGGACAGACTCTTTTTAATGTGTTATATTGTCAAGATTTGACACTCTAACGCAGTGTATTCAAACTTTTTTGATCTCTAGAAATTTTTCATTGGTGATGTGGAGCCTTTCAGAAATTTCATGTACATAGATTGCTGTAGCGCATATATGAACTTGCTACTCTCACTCACCCCGCATGCATCCTTTAGAAGCAGTCCAACTATTCCCCCCACATCCAGAGATTACAGATTGTACAGCTTTAACACATCAAATTTAGGTTCCTGGAATGCCAGGAGTGGATGACTTGTGCCTTAGAAAATATCTGCATTAAAGATCTAACTAAAAGTAAATGTAAATTGGAAACTTAGTAGATAGCTCTAGTCTCCCCTAAAGGAGTAGGAGTCTGGTTGATGTGGAAGCCATAATAGGACATGATTCCTAGTTAGATCTACAGAGCATGCTGAATGACCACATCAGATATTGAGGGATTACAGTTACCAAGGGATGGAGAGGAAAAAAAAGTCCCGAGGATTTTAAAAAAAGAGGTTTGGATGGCAGTCTTCTGTGAAGGGCCTAGATCAGCCTTTGTGACCTAGGAAAAAACTGTAGAGAAATTGAGTCCCTGAGACTTCACCCCCAGCCCATAAATGATAGCTTTGTTATCCTTTCTTACTACTGGTTGGAAACCTGGCATTAAAACCAAACAGAAAATCTGCTGGGATCTTCTGATGTTTTATGTTGGAAACTGAGGTCTTCGCTGGTTTGACCATCACTTCTGATGAGCAGCTTATGTTGAAGTCATACAAGTCAGTATGCTGAAAATTGAGCAAGTGATATGGAAAACACAGACATTCTATAAAATTCAGTTTCATTTATTCATCACTGACACCTATTCAAGTTCAATAACTTGATTTAATATGGTCTTCATTTACAGCATTAGAGTTTACAAAAACATCTGGCCTGATCCAGGTACAGTGTAGCCTATAAGAAGCAACCAGGAAGATAGGAATTCAAGTTTGTGATAAGCATGTATTTCAGGTTTTTGCTGTAGAACATGAGAGCTAGTTAAAAAAAAAAAAAAAAAAAAGTCCTTTGCAAGTCATTACTGGTGAAGGAAGTGTTAACCCTTCATCTACTAAAATGTTTCCAAACCATCATGCAAGCCTTGGAGAACACATTTTTCTTTCTCTCATTATATCCATCTTTTTGTCATTGAAGTGCAGCTTTCTGCAGGTCTCTAACACCCAAAGGTGCAGCTAAGTATCCAGTGGGTTATTATAAAACTATTCATCAAGCTTTGTGCATACCACTGTGAATCGCCAATGTGACTCCCCATGAGTAAGTTCCCCAGGTGCTTAAACAGCCTCAGACCCTTGGCCCTACAGCCATGATTCTGCGAAACTTGCCCGATATACGCTCAGTTGTAGGCATGTAAAAAATCCCACCCTGCTCAGCCAAGAAAAAATAAAAATACCCCAAACCAAAACTGCTATGCTCAGTTAGAATATAATGCTTTATTTCTACACCTTCTGTTCACAGAGTGTGGCAGCACGTGCAAAGCTTCATTCCCATGTCTACATGGGTACTGATTTTCCAGGGCTAAAACCTGAATCAAGTTTTTCCTTTACTGAGGACAAGCTGCAAAGAGCAGACAATGTCTTTGAAAAGAAATCTATAAATCCTGTAGTCCCCTCCTCACCTCTGTTAACTACACTGTTTGAGGTGAAAGCTGTTAACTGAGGCTTTAAAAGGTATGTGTAAATGCAACCTTTTCCCCAAAAAACTTTGAAAATGTGCATAAACAATAACAATTTCTGATAAATGCAATGCTGTTTTGCTAGATTTATGTACTAAAGACAAGAACTACTTACAATAATGAAATGCACAGGCTTGATTCTTTATTTGGCTGAGTCACTCCATTACCTCTAGTGCTTTAAGGAAATTGCTGCAAGAGTAGAATCAGGCCCTTAATGGTTTGCCCGCTACCATACTGCTATTACACCGAGACAATAGTCACAGAAATTTATATTTAGTTCCACAAGAACAGTACATTAGATATCCTTAAGTGTTTTATGAGGCAGGACTTTTCTGACTATTCTGACAAAAACACCAGTATGCGTAGTAACTGGAGCTTTGAACAAATATTACAGTTATGATTTACAGCACAATTGCCAGTCTTCCTAGCTTCATCTCTGATGGCTACTTACTCAGGCTGTCATTTTTAGCTTCACAGATTATATCTGCCTCGGCCTCTTCCACAAACACTGGATTCACTGGAGTGTGTTGCAGACAATACAGCTCTCAAACAATGAAGTATTTGTGTTCATTTTCTTCTCTTTTATCTTTGGAATTCTACTGTTTAGGTCACTATCTGTTGCTTCCAGCTATTCTTTCCTGACAAATTGTAGCTCTTTTTAGGCTTAAAAAGATATAATCAATGAATTCATCTATGTTATTCCTCTGGGTATAAAGGTCTAGATATAATAAGTGGTACACATAGTGTAAGATTACATTGCTATTCCCAAACTGCAGCCCCAAGATTAATTGTGCCTTATAGGCCAAAATTTGAAGAGCTGCTAGATGCTAGCCTCTCTTAAAATCCGATACAACTAACACAATAAAACCACAATATTACTAAATTTCTCAAATGCTTTAAACATGATCCCTCATCAGCAGGAACTGGAAGGGTGTGAATGTACGTACGTATATTCCACAACACATAATTTTAGAGACAGATAAGGAGAATAATGATGAATGGATCCTTTGCCTGATCATATCTGCCTTTCCTAAAAAAAAAAAATCCACCAGAGGTTTTACTTGAAAAAGCCAATCCTTGGATTTTAGTGAGTAACATCACTCATCGTGAAATGTGTCATGATCTGTGGAATAAAAATTGTACTTGGGTATGGGGATATACAGAAATTCCATTTACATTTAAACTTAAGCTCACTGATTGCTCATGTAAAAAATTACTATGCTCTGAATGAAACGAAGATGAGTGCTTAAGCAAACAGTCATAAATTAATTTATAATGAAACATGACAGTCATAATTAAATTTAGAATGTATTTAGGATTGTTGTTACTATTTGTATAGGTCTTTTTTGCCTGGAGGAAGATGCGGCTTCATAGTGAAATGTCAGCTATTGAAATACCAAACTTATGTGTACATGTGTGTTAATTAATTAAAGTGATGTAGATACTTTCCTAAGATCTGTTGTCTGCTGCAAGCAGTCAGACAAAAGACTGCACGATTGAGGCCCATGCAGTAGCAGTGGGTCACCAAGAACTTACTAGGAAGCATGCTGAGCATAACCTGTAAAACTTGTGGGGTTGTGAGGCTGCTGCTCAACTTCCTTCCTTGGTGGCGAGGAGGGTAACATGAGAGCAAGGAGTAGCACTGCAGTTTTTGCACTGCTCACCTGCTCTCCGAAGCTGTTGGCTGCCCATGCACAGCAAAGCAGCTGTCTAGGCCCTGTACTGCATCCCTAAAATATCTGTTAGGAAGACAGATGCGTTTGCTGGCGTAGTGCTAAGCACATCTGGAATGTAGTTCAGGCACCTCATGTCCGAACTGCCCGCTCTGTGTCACCGACTGCCATTAAGAGCCCCTGGATGACTATACGCCTTCCCTACGCCCCTCAGGTTAGGAGGCACCACGCCACTTCTAGCTGTACTGCCGCTGCATTGCTGGCTTTAATATCCAGGTGTTTGAGAGTTACACAAAGGTTAAACTCCTCATGACTGCACCCCTGGCAACATCAGCATGGTGCCCTGTCTGCTGGGCGGGGTCCGTGTCCAGCACCCTGATGATGCCAGCATAGCAGGAAGAGGCAAAGGGCAAGACTGACACTTAAAGTGTGGGCAGTCACAAGAAACAAGCTCTGTGATGTGTAATCTTTTGAGATATATTTATATACGCATAGCTGACAGTTTATTTTTCAGTAGATTTCTCCTAAATCTTTTGGATGTTTCTAACCAAGCAATATATGTATTTTTAGATATGAAAAATTCCTACCTTGTGAAATTTTATTTTTGATATTATAGAGGTGGTTGTTCTTTGTGTAACTACTTCTAAGCCCTGATGAATCTTCCGCCTGCATTGACTCCACCAATGAAACTATACAGGGTTAAAATATTTCTCTATGCTTTACACTTTTATCAAATTTGCCTAATAAAAATGGTATGGGATTGGTTTAATGCAAGAAATTGTTTATGTTTCTAATAGCATCAAGTCACAAAAAGAAGTAACTACTCAATTTGTTAACTGAGAGATGGTATGGCAGGGCATTTGTTGGATAGTCACAGTGTGACCAAAACTATCTTAGTAGTTTGTTTCAACATCAGTTATGAAACCATGATCCCAAGAAGTTGCGATTTCTATTTGCAAAGTAATGTTTAAGAAAAAACAAACGACAGGCCTTGAAGCGTAATATTTATGCTAAAAGTAGGTACTTATGAAAAGTAAAATAAAAAACAAAGCCTCTCTGTTATGATTAATTTCACAGGGGAAGGCAATGGATTCGTCGTTAACTGTCAAAATTAATGTGTTTCACACTGATCAGCAAAGAGGTTCTTTAAATATGGTTAAGCAACACATAGGAAGCACTTGGGTAAGTTAAGTGACAGTAATTGGTCAAAAAGTAGTTCATGTCTTCCTCCAGTTGGAAAGTTTGCAAGGGGTCCTTTCCACACCCCTCATGGGAACAGAATTCCCCTTGTCATATCCCAAGCTCTTATTTTACAGCTCAGGAGACAAGAGGGTTGGTTGGTTGGACGCTTGTGTTAAAGGATGAGTCAGTATATTCTTACCCTGCTCTCAGGGAGAGACCAGTGGTGGCATTTTAGGCAGAGCTCCAGGGCCTTTCTATCCTGGGTGCTGAGAAAACCAGCATCACCTGGAAGGGCAGTAAGCTGATTTTAAACTTTGAATGTGCTCAAGGACACATAGTGGCAAGCATTCAGGATGTCTGCCCAGCTTCAGTGCCCATAATGTGCTTAGCCTGTATTTCATGTTATGTATCTACTATTTATCCCCATTTCAAACCTTATGAAAAGTTAGTCCTTTTGCATCAGAGAATGAAACCTTCCTAAAAGAATACTCTCCAGCACCCACAACAGTTCCTTTCTTTCCAGTTAGCTCATCTTCTCAAATCAGAAGTATAATTAACCATATTATCATTGAAAAAAAAAAAAATATCCTGGCCGCTTTACAGAATTATTTCTATAGAAATATCCTGGGGAAGGAAGGGTTGATAAGCTGAACACTGTCCTAGCAACGGCCTAACTTTCATCTTTCTCAGTAAGATTTGACATTCTTGTGTATCAGCACCTTAAAAGCCAGTTTTGTAACTCTCATCTTTGATACTGATAGAAGCCTTTTTTTATTGCCACTTTCTTGGCTAACAGAGGATCTGGCAAATTACCTGATAGTTTAGATTTTCCTAGAACACCACAAAGACAAGTATATCCGTCAGATATACAGATCAAACTACCTTCTTGGGATAAATAAAATTTTTCCAACAGCCACTATTTGTGGTTTACATTTATTTGTCATATGGACACGCAAATCTTCTCAGAAACTGAAAACTGCCAGCTGAGGCACCATGACACAACAAAGAGTCTTGCTATTTCATGTTACATTATCTGCCAAGGGTATTATTATGATGGAAGTTCTTTGAAAAGCTGAAAACATTTTTTCCAGGTTCACTTTCAGTCAGATCAGTAAGTTGATCCAACTCATCAGATGTTGCACAACAGCTGAAGGATGGGCAGCTGCAGCCACAGATTGTAAGTAATGATTATTGGGCACCAGATCTTGGGCGTCTTTGGTGGACTTGGGGATTTGATTTCATAATCAACTAACACCAAGGAAGGTGGTTAACACAAAAGCAAATCACTAGGTTGAAAACCAGTCTAGGTAAATATTTGAGGAATCCACTGCTGACAGTTGTGTGCAGGACCACTTCCTCTACCAAGGATTTCTAGTTTAAATGGATCAAAGAAACATCTTGTCTCCACTATAGGTAGAAAATTGAGGCATGGAATAATTGGATACATTACCAAGAGAGAATATTCGAGTAAAGTCCATATAGTTATAATTTCAATCCCTTTTACCAGCTTCTGTAGTACTTTCCAGAACAGACTAGAAAAATGTAAAAAAGTTTAATGATTATTTACAAATATACAATACTTACATTTTTAGGAGTTATAAAAATGGCACATACTACAGAAACCAAAAGCTTCCTCTAACCTTTGGTACACTTCAAAATTATTTATTTACAAAGAAAAATTACAGGCACTTTTCATAGTGTCGCATGTTTACATATAAGCATTTCTCAGCTGAAAAATATCTTGCAGTTTACCCACAGGCAGTCTTTGCAGTTTGAGCTCTGCCCCCATATATCACATCAAAAATTCTATCAGCCCCTGTTAAGCTGACGTGACATTGCATTTTTATGTTTTAACAGCCTTTAGTTTGAAAAATATGTACAACCCATAAGGCTAAACTGATTCATAGTTGCTGAGATTTCACCTGGTGTATTTTGTATTGCTCATATTTATATTTGGTAAAATGACATAGGCTACCTTTTTGAATTAGTTCAAGTAAATCATGTTTAGAAAAAGGTGGTCCATTTCTGTTAGCTACAGTATTTCCAACTCTTCATGAAGGGAATTAAAAAAAAAAAAAAATAAAAAAGGATAAAATGTCCTTTCCAGGATGCTTTGTCATCTTCTGAAACTTTTATATTAAATTCTTCCTTCGCTACCTACAATTCTTACCTAAGGTAACGGAGACAAACTGAGCACGCTTTCCAAATCCTGTTCATTTCCATTAGTTTTCTGATGTTGGATGTTTTCTAGTTTGTACTTTCTTTGAGCCAAAACTGAAAAACTTTCCTCTACCTGAGAGCAAACATTAGTATTTCTTAGTCTGTATGTACTTGAGAGTCTTCTTAAACTACTTACACAGCCAGAACACATACAGTCTGTTATTGACATCTTCTACTTAAGTGTGCATACAAACACTTCCATACTCTGATAATTTTCAGACTGTACAATTTCAACACATAACAGTATGTGAACTCAATATGAAAGTAGTTTGGGACTACGCATTTACAACTGGTAGTTTTTAATTAAGACTAAATACCACCAGAGTACTAGTTATGGGTAAGGTCAAGATTTTTTTTAAATTGAGAATCAGGAAAAGCTTGCCATCAGCAGCTGTGACCAGAGTTTAAAAATCTCCCGGCATACAATATTTTCCTCCCAGAAACTTACTCCATAGACAAAATAAACTCCAAATTCAAGTGTCTTTACAGAATGTCTGCATTCTGGATTTTCGTCGTGCAAGAGCTTCTTGTTTTTTCCTTTCAATCTCTTCTTGAGAGCATTTTCTATTTTTTTGTTCCACCACAGATACTGTAAATAAAAAACATGTATTAGGAGTTTTCAAGTTTGTTAAATATGTATTTTAACTTATCTGTTTTCAATGTTTGAATATCTATGGCAAGACCACACTATTCTGACGTACCAGGTACCCAAACTAAAAATGGTTCATCTATCCTGTCCCCAAGGCAGGAAGGGGAATAAGATTTACGACCTTTGTAGTACTACTGATTACTACCTCCCAGTGAAAATACTGGGATGCAGACATTTGCTTCAAGGAAATTTTACTTGGCTGCCCTTCAAGTAAGCCTTGTGACATCAGGAGTCAACACAGGAGATGGCAATGGGTTAAGAAAATTAAGGCTATCAGAGTGAAAAGGGCCTTACAATTTAATGAGTTAAGCAGAGATATGGGCATGGAGAAGGTACAGACACAGGGGTCAGATACAGTAGAGGCGTCACACAAATAAAACCAGAAAGGTTGGAAAAAGGTCAAAAGTAGCAATAAAAATTGGCAAAGGAGACAAGAACATGATGGCTAAGCGTAATATTTTATATGTTGTGTTACAGGCCTATGAATTCCCATAGAATAAAATCTTGACCTCACTGGAAGCAACAGGAACTCTGCCTGAACATGTCAAGAATTTTACCATTTTTGTATACCAATTTCCAATTAATGTATTTTTAATAAGTAGTCTTTCAAAGTGGATAAATAAAAGAAGGGTCTCTTCACTTCTAAAAAAAAAGATGTCCATGAAAAATTACACATCAGTTTTTAAAAGGATCATTTAATGTCCATCTTTTTGTTATAGCAATGTCCTTTAACCAAAACATGAAGGTGAGGACAGATGGTGTTTATCTGTAAAGAAAATGTATGCTATTCTTTTTCATTCCTTGATTCTCTAGAACGTTCCATAGAGTGACTAGTTATCTCTCCTTCCTTCCCCCTTAACTGAATTTGCTACCTTTCCTTTATCTGCTTCTTTGCTGGGGAAAAAACACAGATAAAATACTGATACTTCAACTAATGCTGGCTGATAATTTGCAGGAATTAATTTTTTTGTTGTTTTTGTAATAGCGCTTCCTGAAAACTGAAGTTGATATAGTACACTCTAAAGGCATGTTTTATCAAAATTAACATTGATTAAAACTTCACCAAGCCATGGCATCAAGTAAAAAAAAAGATTGACTGGCACTTGACAGGCTCTACATTTTCCTAGCAAGTAACATCAGTCCATGGAATATTACAGACCATTGCTTGATGATGGAGAAGTGACTGACCTCCACTCTAGGTGAAAGGAAATGTTAGTGTTTAGACTGATAACACAAGACTGCTTCACTGTCATTTTCAGCCCCAAGGCAAACAACACCACAGGCCAAGGTTTCAGAAGCATCGAATGATTTGAGGTTCCACTTTCCAGGTATACAATAAAAAGAAACTAGCATTCTGTGTTACCTGCTGCCTTCTTTCTCTGCCCCACCATTAACTGGGGTTTTACAAATCATGGCGAAGTAATTTTTAGTATTTTTCAAAATGAACTGTAAATTAAAGCACAGATTCACACTACAAAATTTACTATCTATCAAAATAGTAGTGTTTCTAAGTACCAATTTAAGAATATGGTATGCTGAGTGCTGCCATCAGCCTGTTCTTGATCCTAACGGTTCTGAGTGTCTGTGGAGAGAAACCGTGTTCACAGAAGTAGAATGAAAATGGGAAACAGAAGTCCTTAACTATGAGAATTCATGAGATGTATCAGTACAATTTTATTTGGGATAAATTAACCTCCAAATTCTCATTAGAAGATTTACTAATGCCTAAACTAAGTGAATATTGAAGCCTATTGTAAGTTGCAATACAGTATAAATTTCTCTGACATTCTGATTACAGTAAAAAAACAAAGTCTAACAGTGATACAAATAAAGGCAAATACCTGACGTAGGCAGTGCAAAAGACTCTGAAAGATGTCTCTTGAAAGGTGGTTTCTTATTGTCAAGCTTGTTGTGGCAAGTCACATTCACCTGATTCTTGCTTCCTTCCAAACCCTGCATAGTAATTCCAATGCCAGAATGACTCTCCAGATTTTCAGACCCTACATGAAAAGCACTCTGAGAATTGTTAGTCTTTCGGAACTTAAACTTTGAAGGCATAAGTGATGTTTTCTTACCAGAACTATTACTTGGCATCTTTCCTGTATTACACAAAAGATCTGGGCTCTCTGCTGTTTTGCTACTAAAAATGCTTACTGCACTAACAGGACTTACTTCAGAACCAGTCTCTCCTGCCGGCACAGAATTTGATCTGCACCATTTTCCTGAAACAGTCTTTGTAGTATCTTCAGAAGCAGTCTGATGACAGTTTTTAGACAATGTGTATTTACACTCCATAGAAGTGCCCGAGATCACAGTTAGAGGACTCGAGACATTTTTACAGTTCACTCCGTGACCTGCTGTGGCCAGCCCATGTGTAATCTTTGATGAATTCCTACACGAATTGAGTGAGAAAGCATCCTGTTTTGAATTTGTTTTCTGTGCCAAGAAGAGATCAGGTAGTCCTTGTTTAGATGCTGGAAACCGGTTATCAGCATTTGATCTGGAATTAATACTGGCTCCTTGTATAGTTTTAGCTCTTTCATTTCCTTGTTTAACATCCTGGCTCTGAGTCTGCTTTTCTATATCATCACACACCTGATACAACAATTCATCATCCTCGCAGTTTGCATCCCAAAGACTATTGGATTCACAAAACATATCTAATATCTCATCAGAGAATTTTAGTTCATTCCAGTCATCAAATGTCAGAGGACATTTCTTTAGTATTTCACCTTGATTTACGTGACTTGTATTAGCTTGGTTAACCACTTTAGTTAGATCATTACGTTTCACAGCGGTAGAAACACTGGATGATTGACAGAAAATACTGTGTGTGTTATTCCCAGGCTTTTCAGTCCATTGTCTATGAGGATTAGATCTTGAAGGAAAAAGAGAAAGAGGGTCACTTTTAGACTGAATAGCTTCATTTCCATTCTTCACTTCTGATTGTGTTGAAACAGGAATACAGTTCAAATCACTGTTCTTGGCACTTTTCCACATAGAATTTATTTTATCTGGCTTGACATCACATTTGCCATGAAAGGCTACGGTCTCTGTCTTTGAGTTTTCTGTCTTACATTGCTTTTGTAAAGAAAGAGATTTTACAACATTTCGTGTGTTTTTACTAGAATGTTTCAAAGGTGAAAACTGCAAACTGTTAGGTTTGTGTATACTCCCCAAACACGTTACTGAATTGCAAGTACTTCTCTCCTTTGTTCTGCTGGCATCACTGAAACCATGCACAGATGGATTTGCAGGAATTGGTGGTGCTTCTTCAGTACTTATCAATTCAGGATTTTGGGTTATTTGCATCACAAAAGAGTCATCTGCCAAAAAATCTGTATCCCAGTCATCGAAGTCATCATTAACTACTCCAGCATGTATATTGGAGACCACCAATTGTGTCTTCAAAGAAGAACTTTTTTTTGTCAACATGTGAGTATCAGGTTTTGGAGAAGTCTGGTTCACACTTCCTAGTTCACACAGAGTATCTTTTTGATATGCCTCTAAATTACATTGTGGCATATCCTTAATTTGCTCAGGAAGGCATTCCTCCTCCAAGGTGCTTTTATTTTCATGGAAACTAATATTTATACCTGATAGTTCTTGGCTCAACTGTCCACTACAGTTCTGGGTAGAGGAGTCAAAAAGAGCACGAAGGGCTATCTCAGCCTCAAGGTCTATAAACTTTTCACTGCTAGATGGACAGGGTTCTGCAGCAGGGATGCCAGTGCTCTGTCCAACTGGTTTCTCAGGCAGAGCAGTATCTGCTTCAGAAACTTCACCATGGAGTGATTTCATGTTCTTCGTATTTACTTCATCTTCAGAATGTAAAGACTCTGAGGCAGTCTGGATGAAGTCATGACCAAGCTTCTCTTGTTCCTGAACAGCATCTAGCTCTACTAGATTTTTATCAAATTCCTTAGCCAATTTCATGAGTTCCTCTTCAGGATTTTTTATTTTAAGGTCCCTAAATTAAAAAAAAAACAAAACAAAACAACACAAATAAACAGAAAAGAAAGTCAGGCCTACTGAGAAACTTTAGCCAAGCTCAATAACATAACCATATGAGCTGTTCATGCTCTAGTTTAACTACAAAGAATATGACTGAATCCCACCGCTTTCAGTGCACAGTCAGCACACAATCTTTCTGATAATTCACAAGAAATACCCCAATTAAGAAGAGATAACAAACCCAAAGCTAAAAGCATTCTGTATGCTAATGTACAATTACATGGTTCACTATAGACAAAGGAACAGCACATACCCTTCTTCATGAAAACGCAGCTGTGATGGGCAAGACAAAACTGTAACTTACCTTGTACAACTTAACTTTGTCCTAGCTCGCACTTTTACTGCTCCAGGTGTACAGGGAATAGCATCCTCACCAATCCATGTCCCTAAAAGGGAGCCTTCATTACAGGCTGCTTTTTCATCCTGAATGATTAGATTTATAATGCTTAGCAATTTGATTTCAGGTAAAGATTGGACTAGACACACACCTTGCATTAGTTAAAAGCTGCTAAACCAAAAACTGGACCAAATCTGTTCAAAGCCAAAGATAGGAGCTAAATAAATACATACAAGCTAAGCAAGTTTTCTGTGACATTGTGTGTACTGATAGTTGTATCACTTTAATTATATTGATTTAAAACAGGAACCTCAATTAAAATAACTGAATTTGACTTTGGTGCTTGAATGTAGTACTCTATTTACTACAGGTTTACACATAATCTGCAGTTTTCACATTACAAGCTGTGATCTAGTTTACTTTAGTATACTACTAAGGAGCTAGTTGAGTTCCACTGTCTTTATCCACGTAAAGCAACATTAACAGATCAGAGAATCTGCAAGAAGTCATATTCTGTATGCTTCTAGGAAAAAATCTGACTTCTTCCATTACAACTCCTTTATGCAAGGAACCTAAATGAAGTTGTTCTGGAGCTGCAAAGTTCAAGCTTGGATTTGAATTCTGAAACCTAAGAGATACAATAATGCAGTGGTAAATTGTCTGGAGGGCCATAGCCATGGTATGTGGGAAACTACTGCACATAAGCCAGAAAAGGTAATTTGAATTTTACTAATTATCAGGGTAGTAAAAAAAAAAAAAAAAAAAAACCACAAGCAACAGATAGTTGCAAATCCTTTTATCATTCACATTTATGACAGGGCTGCAATCATTTAAAAGGAAGGAAGTAGCATCCCTTATCAATCATTTTTCAATTCTTAACTATAATTTGTCACGAATATGCCAAATACATTTTAAATGGCCCTGTCAAATAAGCAGGCACATTTTGCAAGCTAAATACTATAGAACTGTTTTAGCAATGACGTGTTCTCTTCTGGCACATAATGAAAAGCAAGCCATAAGCCAACACTGTTATTTTCTCTTTCCAGGCTTTGGATGTCAAGTTCACAGCAAGAGGCAGACACCAAAAGCATAGATCTTACAGTAAAAAGGCAAATTATTTAGCATAACGAAGCAACATTACTATGTTTACATTATTGTGGAGTCTCTCTCTCATCCGAGTCATGTGCTTGCACTTCAGCAGTCACTCAAGACCATTCAAAACTCTTAAAAACAACTGCCAAGTAAATCCAGTGTGTGAAGAAACTCTTATCTTTTAACTGATGAGTGATTAAGGAAAAACACAACAGTATTCTTAAGACCAGGGGCAATCACCTGTATTCTGAAAGTAAAACTTTCTAAAACGGAGCTGCTGCAAGTTCACTTTCTTAATACGTCCTTTTTTACAGCATCTGTGACTCATAAGAGCAACCAGTCAAATGCTATGCTCATGATTTTAATTCAATCCAGTTTTATGAACATGCTACTAGTTTTCTACACACCCGATTCTTACCATGAGACTACTGTAACTAAGAGTGAGCCTTCACTAAGGCTGCAGCACTATTCTGTTTGATTACTGCATATGCAGAGCATCGTTCTAGAAAGTAATGATTACCTGAGGAGCAATACGATTAACAATTTCTGAAATTTCTACTGCGCATCTACTGGTAGACTGTTTGTTTTTTCCATTGCCTATGAAAACAAACAAAAAACCTTCTTAAAAAACTGCGAAACAATTCAGTTTATAAAGTGCAGTATATCTCAATTCAAATATACGTGTTAAAATCAGAGCTCGATTTAGCACTGTGTCAAAGAATTTATGGGTTTTTATTAAAACCAAACAACCTAACCATGATAACAGAAAGGGCCCTCTTTCAAGAAATTTTACAACTTAGTACACTCCCACTGCATGCCTCAAATAGGTGCAACAAAGTCTGGATTTCGTTAATATTACCTAGTCTGTGTGCAATTGGTGAATGAGGATCCCAAAAGATTTCTTGCTGTATATCAGTGTCATTAACAGGAAAGCTGAAAGTAGGTATTCGGGATTTCCTACTCAACGATCTCTTTGGTGTTTTATGTAAACATGACTCTGTATAAACAGAAAGATGATCCTTATAAAAATCTAAGAAATTAAAGGGCAACGTTATTTCAAACATACAACAGGACAAGACACAAAGAAAATGCTTTAGGAATTTTCAGAATAAAACTCAAGTTCACACTCATCAAAATTCCTTTACTTAAAGCAGAAGTATTGTTCACAACAATATATTTAAGGCAGAATATGATGCCATCTTTGTCAGTTAGATCACAACAGAAATAACTGAGCATTACGTAATACTGACAACTATATGCTCAGTATCTGATGGTAAGAATGAAAACTGTCAATCCTCCTACTTCAGGGAATTGAGCTCAGCTTATGTCAAGAGAAAAACTGTGTACACCTATTTGGGAGAATATTTTGTTTTCTTGATTGCTCTGTGATTTTCACCCAGAATCTGATTTGGGTCACAAATTTAAGGGGCCACCAAACAGTTCTAGGCCACAACCTACCTTTGTCTATACTCCCTCCAATGGGCCTTTTCTGATAGGACTGTTAAAAGCAAGACTACAGCTACTCAAAACCAGCCTGCAGCTGTCTCTGATCAGTCAGTGAACTGAACACACTATGTGAAGCTCAGCTAGTCACCCCTGCCCTTTAGAAATGACATTGCAGATGTGGAAGTCTACATACGTAATTTTAAAAGATGCAATTACTACGCAAGAAGCATCTTGGGAGAGGCTTTGCATATAAGCACTTAGCACGGTCAGGCTTTATCCTCTACTCGACTGGATTAGCATTCTCGCTCAGTTCTAAGCATCTGCCTGGGGAAAGATGCTCTTCCTCGCTCCTGAACAAGAAGAGCCCCTTCCCACCGCCCTCGGACGGGGGATGAAGGCCGCACCGGCCAGCTCCTCACAGGCGGGCCGCACCTCCCCCGCGGCTCCGGCGCTGGCGGCCAGGGCAGGGCAGGGCCGGGCCGGGCCGGGCCGGGCCGGGCCGGGCCGCCCCCGGGAGCCGCTCCCGTTGTACCTGCAGCGCCGCGCACCGCCGCCTCCCGCGACGGCGACGGTCGGGGCGCGCACGGCGCCTCCCCCGCGAGCAGGCCTCGGCCCGCACCGCCGGCCGCCGGCGCCTCCTTCTTTGCCTCCTCCACCTCCTCCGCGGGGGGCTCCACCGGCCGCCACCGGGTGAGCCGCTCGTCGCCGCCGCCGCTCCGCCTCCTCAGGGCGGCAGAGCTGAGGCAGGGCCCCTTCCGCCGGCTACCGCGCATGGCGTGCGCTACGGCGGCGCCGCATCCACCCCGCCAGCGCCGCCGCCATTTTGCCGCGGAGCCGGCCGCGCCGTCACCGATTGGACGCAGCCTCGCCGCCTCGAGCGGCCATTGGCCTGGCGCGGGAGGGGGGCGGGCCTTCGGACGCGGCAGGGAACTGCGCTCGCGCCGCGCTCCCCCCCCCCCCCAGCCCCGCCCCCCCGCTCGCACTGGGGCGCTGTCCCTCGCCCGCCCTCGGCTGCGGCGGCCGGTTCTCCCCCCGCCGGTTGTCCGTGGCGTTACGCGTTCCTAAACCTTTATCTCGGTGGTCAAGTGGAAGAAGAGCTAAGCCCGCCGCCGTCAGAGGGGATGGGGGGGGGAGCCCGGCCATCGGCCTGCCGTGGCCTCGTGTACCTTTGAGGCGGCCACCTCTTGAGGCAGCCTCGCACCCTCGATTCGCCGGCGGCTCCTACCCCAGCCCTGTGGCGGTCCCGGTCTCTGCTGAGGTCCTCGGGGCCCAGAGGAGGGGTGTGCGGTGAGTGTCCTTAAAACAAACTCAGACAGGCATAAACCGTTTCAGCCCAGCATGGGAATTGGGGCTGGCAAAGAGAGACTTACAGAAGCCAAATTTGGTAGGGAAGAAATTAACGTGAGGTTCCTAAGGGACTGCGATATTACATCATTATTTGAAACAATATAAATGCAAACACATGTATGTATTACATCATAAGGTGGATATTTCCTCCCCGAGCCACTAAACATGAATGTATAAACATACCTACCAAGCATACAGGGTCAAGGAGTGAAGTACTTGTATATTGGTGGCCTGCCTGGTTTTCATTTAATAGATTTGGTGTGCTTTGGGATCACACTTCATTTATAAGACATGAGCAGTGGGCTTCAGTCTAGGATCGCAACTATGAGAAGTTTTAGTCACCAAAGAGAGATTCCCTGAGCCGTGAAACCTTTTCTTTCCACCCGAGGCCTCGGGCAACCAATATGCTTTTTCACTTTCCCATTCCTGTGAGTGTAATTAAAGCCAGTAGAAGACTTTTTAACAAGGAAGAAATTAAGTACTATGTATTAAACAGAGAAACTGTGTTATATACATGGTTAAAGTATCACAGTTAATCACAAATAGTTGTGACATTTCAATAATCAACTTGTTTATGTCATACCTATGACATCTAAATCAGAGACAAGACTGAAGAAATGGGTCCAGAGTTGGGCTCCAAAATCCACCACGGACATCTGAACATGGCTACTGCTGATGTAATCCTGCATAAAAATCCACTGTCTTGAAGGACAATGAGGTTAGAGGAACTTGTTAGTGCATTCTCACTCATGAAGAAGAAACTTTTTGGTTCATCCTCTGTAGCATCAATAGGAACATAAACTCTCTGCAGCATGCAGACTCTTTCCAGGAGCTCATAAACATATTGGGTAATCAAATTTCCCAAAACTTGTTAGCGTTTATGATTCTGCTCATGTTCATTCTTTTAATAATCGCCTTGTAATCATACTAACATGGGTAAATCTGTGCATCAGTACAAAGCGTGATGAAGTTCTGCATGACATTTTTGACTGTTGGTTTGCAATAATTAAAAGCTGTAATGCATTGTACAGGTACAGAAATGGCTTACCTCGACTTTTTATGCCATAGGTACAATGTAGATTACTTGATCGTTGTTTCCAGTTAAAATGGATACTGAGAAGAAACCATCTTTTTACAATAGTGGTAGATAAAACTTGAGGGATAACAAAACATTGAAATCAACACACTTACTAGAAAGTGCTACTGAAATCTTGATGTCTCCTACCACTTCCTAGTGACCTCTTAGCAGCTGGGTACTGTAAAGTCTGCTTTCATACTCCTGCATATTAACAAGCATGGTCTGAAATGCTGTCATCAATAGTTAAAATTAAGTGACATCTGTCATATTCATTGAGTGCTAGGAATTTTGCAGTGTCTTCTTTGATTTCTTAATTTCTCCAAGCTAATTGTTCACTAACCTCATTCACACAATGTGAATATTTGCCACAGGTCTTTTACACATCAGTGAGGTTTTACTCATAGAGTAAATGCATTTAAAAAAAAAAACAAAAAAACAAACCAACAAACCATATTTAATGTCTATCTAGTTCTGCATGAGAGATCTGGTTACATCAATCCAAGCATATGTAAAGTTGTGTTACCAAAAGTTGGAAAAAAAAAAAATCTGTACGTTCAGAAAAGCTGAACAGGTTCATGATTGAAAAAAAAACCCAAACAAACAACATTTTCCTAATGAATAAAAGTGTGTATATCTCACTGCAACTTAAGAACTTAGCTCTGAGCTGATTCTGTTTATTAAGTTAAGAAATGGAGTGGTAGAAGTCTGATGTTGAAGGGTTTCTCTGTAGAGCTGTAGCCTCAAGGAGGAGGGAGTTTGTGCTCCCTTGTCATGGTATGAGCAGCTGGATCAATGGCTAATTGTGGTGAGGCTGTGTTCCAGGGACTCGCAGCAAACTCCTAATGCTGCATTTGTGAGTCCTACTTTCAAATCAAGAGGGATAAATAATGGAGGAGATTGAATGAATAATAAAGTTAGTTTAGTTTTTAATAGTACTATAAACTGCCTGAGAACTTTTGACTGTGTTCTATGAGACAGGGATCTAAAATGAAATGAAATAAATGTGGAAGATCCGAGAAGTTTCCTAAGAATTTCCTGTCACTGTAATGAGAGCACTGAAAATCAGAGTGGAGAAAGGCTCCTTTCTAAAGTCCTTACAGCACAGAGCTTTAAAGTGAACATTTTTATCTTGGAACGAGAAGGTATCATTAGTGAGTTTTTTCAGAATATCTAACACAGCATCAATATAACTAACAAAGAGAAGTGACTTTGTATTATAGTTCATCCTTCATTCCTGTTAGGGCTGGAAAAAAAGGAAAATCAATAATAGTGATTTCAATGAAAATATCAAGATTTGTGAGAGGATGGAAGTTATTATAAATAATGAAATTAATTTGACAAATACTATCTTTTTCCAGAATGTTTTTAAATGCTCCATGACATTTTCAAAGTGAGCTATCTTGGGTTTTTTTGTTCCCAAACTACATTTTCATTTCAAAATTGATTTCTTTTTAAGCTCTGAAAAAGAAGTAAGCAAAACACACACAAGCACTCTTAATTTGTCTCCAGTGAAAATGTGTGTGTGCATTTCGATCACCTGAGATCAGGTGAAAAGGAAAATTTTCCAAGCCATATGTTCCATGGATAATTTGGTTTTAAAAATGGTGCGGGCACAAACTCTACAACTCAGTACAGTTATATGGTACTTTAAACGTAAACTTGTTTTCTGCTAGGGAAGGAACAGTTAAATAAAGGGTGTATGTACCTGGGTAGCCACCTGTACTAGGTACCTATGGAAATTTGATAGACAGGTCACAGTCTCTCCTCTGTTTCTTCAGTTAAACCTCTGGCATAGTCTTTCTAAACCTGTAAGGACCTGTCTGTCTTTGGTTGTGTACCAAAGCAAATGTTAACAAAAGCAAAATAGAAGGTTATAGCACTACTGCATTCAGTCTACAGGAAGTCCTCAGGAAATTTCAGTGGTCCTGAGAACAAGAGTCTCTGGCCATGCTTTCTTGCATGGTGCAAGACTGCCCTCAGCCTTGTTACGTATTTCTGAGAAGCGTGGCTCAGTGACGCTCGGGGATGTGCAGAGGGGCACCGAGTGAGGTAACTTAATGTGCCTGGTACCTTCTTTGCCCGTTCAGAGCCAGCTTGGATGTTTCTCTGCAGCGCTGCTTCATGCCGCACAGGTATACCCTGGTATGTCTGGCTTCACAGCTGTCAAAAGGAGATAATAGTACTTACTTCAGCATGGGTCGTCCTGGGGATAAGCACAGAGCCATTGGCTATGGCACTGAGGGGAACCATATAAACAGGGGGGTGAATTTAGATGCTTAATGTAAGATGCATTTATAAATACAACCCTGTGGACCCAAACAAAAATAAACTAAGACACCAGTATAAAATTTAGCTATGAAAGTAAAATATTCTAGCCACAGTTTTCTGCCTTTTTTCTCCCCAGAAATCCTGCTCATCCATATATTCTCTTTGGAAGCCTTGGAGTGTTTACTAAAATAGAGCGCTACATGATACTGGATAGTTTATACAAGTTAACAGCAAGAGATATGTGTTTTGTTGCCTTCTTTGGGACCTTAGATAAAACTGAGAGGGTGTCTGAAATGTTAACTTAATGGACAATAATTTTTTCCATCCATAGGGGAACACAGGCATCATGCGTGTATTTTTGCTTTTATTAATAGCATTTTGATAGCACAGTTATAAAGCTTGTCCTTGGCTTGCCTTGAAATATCATACTGACTTCACTTACTATAGAATGTAACTTTAATTTTCCAAGATGAAATGTTTGCAGAGCAGAAACTGGTGAGGAAAATATGGCCGAAACAGCTACATATACCTTTATTTTTAAAGTGCTGTCCTGAAGGGTTTGCAGCAATTTTTGCTGATGCATAAATTGACCTAGACAGTAAATGATACATGACCTTAAAAATATCTGAAGTAGCCTTGCTTGAGAATTTTTAGTAGAGAGTTATTAAATGTCAGAGTAATTTACACAAGCATAGCCTAGTTTATGGTTTTGCATTCTCTTTCCCTTTTTCTCTCCACCATGCCATCCGAGAATCATAGAAGCTTCAAAAATATTTTACATATATCTCTTTTTTCTTATCACGGAGGCTCATCTTACTTTATTTATCATACTCAGAAAATCTCATCAAATGTGAGACTAAAATGTAGCTCACAAAGGCCTGATCCAGCAGAGCACTTAAGTACCTGCATAACTTCATCGTGATGACATTTTCCATTGCTCATTATCTGGCATTTAAAGGAAATTTTCCACTGCTTGGTGTCTGGGCATTTAGAGGAAATAGTCAGCCAAAATGGGTGAGCCATTTAGAAGAATTAGGTCAGGCAAATGAACAGGCTACAAGTTGCAGAGGTCTGTAGGGAGCCCTGGAGGTTCAGGCCCCTTGCAGAAAGCTGGAGATAGCCACTGGGAGGGCCTTCTATTCAGTATTTAT